TGTATTATCTCATTTAATCCTTATAATAATCATATGACTGGGGTGCCTGGATGGTTCAGTCGGTTCAATGTCCCAGCTCTTGATTTAGGCTCAGGTCATGATCCCAGGATTGTGGGATCCAGCTCTGCGTCAGGCTCCGTGCTGAGCATGGAGTCTGCCTCAGATTCTTTCTCTGCCCCTCTGCCCTGTTCACACACACACTCCTACTCTCTGTCTAAATAAATAAATATATATATAAATAAATCTAAATTGTATACATAAATTATAATACATAAATTAATAATTTATAAATTTTAAATTTATAATAGATAAATTTATATATACATAAACATTTTTTAATAGTAATCATACGACTTAAGTAATGTCACTATCACCATTTTGTGAATGGAGAAACTGAGGACAGAGAAGAAAGTCATACAACCGGGATTTAAACACTTGGCTTATGCTCTTAATTGCTATCCTACTGAACAAAATATATGTTAACCCCTGTTCATCCAACATTATAACTTAAAAACAAAAACAAGAAAATATTAGAAATCCAAAGAAAAGTAATACATGGAAAACTTTAGTGAGGAGCTTTAATATATCTGTTTCAGTAAATCAATACATCAAGCAAAAGAAAGGTAAGTATACAGAGAGTTTCAATTACATCATTAAAAAGACACATAGTAGATACATAGGTAAGTTTTGTACCCAACTAGGAGAGGGTATTCAATCTTTTTAAACACACATGGAACATTTACCAAACTTGACTATCAGGACACAAAATCTCAACAAGTTCCAAAAAAGGAGAACATATAGACCTATTCTCTAAATAAAATAAATAATAAAATTAGGTATTCACCAGAAAAGTCTCACATTTCTCTAACTAAAAACTTTAAAATACCCTTTTAAATTATTCTTGGATTAAAGAGGAATTAAAATGAAACCTACAAGCTAATTAGAAGTGAATAAAAATTAGAGCAATATTTTGGGGATGTGTCCTAAGTGGTTCTCAAAGAAAGATTTATAGCTTTAAATGCCTTCATTAGGAAAAAAGAAAGATCTAAATAAAGCACAACACAACACACAAGAAATAAAATATGATGAAATAAAAACTAGCGGTCAATTCTATTTATGAAAATAAAGGCAAAAATCCCAAATAAAATACTAGCAAAATGAATCCAGAGGTTTATCAAAAGAGCAAAACACTACGGGTATTAAAGGTACATCCCACAAATGTAAGGATGGTGAGTCAGGAAAACTACTCTTGGAGCACTGGGGTGGCTCAGTCGGTTAAGCGTCCCACTCTTGATTTTGGCTCAGGCCATGATCTCAGAGTCACGAGATCAAGCCCACGGTCAGGCTCCGTGCTAGGCACGGAGCCTGCTTGAGATTTCCCTCCCTCTCCTTTTGCCCCTCCCCACTAACACTCCTCCCCACCACCACCCCTCCCCCCTCCTGCACACTCACACAGGGCCTGCTGGAGTGCTCTCATCTCTCTCAAAAAATGAAAATTAAAAAAAAATTAAGAAAAAAGAAAAAACTGCTATTGTCAGTCATCACATTCCTAGATCAAAGGGAAAAAAACACCAGGTTCTAGAAGGAAAAATCTGTATGGCAAAAGTGCCAAGTAAAAGGCAAATGACAAACCAGGAAAAACTATTCATAACTCACATTTCAGAAAAAGGAAATCTCCTTTTGTAATCTCCTGAATATAGGCGTTGTTATGCATCAATTTTTTTAAACAGACAATTAATAGAAAAACATACAAAGGATGTGAAAAGCAGTTCTCAGAAAAGCAAAAGCAACTGGCTGTTACATATGCAAAAACAAAACAAAACAAACAAAAAAAAACCCTTGATCCACTCATAACTAGAGAAATGCAAATCAACACTGCCCAGGGGGTTTTGTTTCTAAATACCATTCTCCAATAAAAGAACCTGAGTTTCCTGGAGGAACCCTGACTCTAGGGCTGAAATGGGGAGAATACAATATGACCCTGAAGCACCTTATAGGGTCAGAAAATAAGCAAATGAGGGAAAAAAGATGAGGGATGGGTACACAGGAACCCACCTGAAGGAGCTAATAAAGGCCAAAGATGAAACAATTTAGCCAACAAAATTAAGCATGATAGTATTTAATTATAACCCAAAGACTAAAATAAATCAGTGTAGGAGAACAGAAAATATTCCTTACACAGGAATGTAAAAGGAATAGAGAGAGCCACCCTCCTTCATTCCAGAGCAGACATTTCCTGCTGCCATCCCATGTGATAGGTTCTGAGCTGGGCTATATGACTGGATCCCATGGAGCTCACAGCCCATGGTGGGAGGCACAGTGGTCACAGGCATCCAGTCACCTCAAGCAGGGGCACCCCTTGGGTTCTACTTGCCCTCTCCCTGGACTCTCTCAGCCACCCGGGTGAGTCGCCACATTTTATGTATGAGTTCCCTTTCAGTAAAGTGAGATCTGGATTACATGACATAAAATGCAACCATTTTAAGTGCATTTGATATGCTTTGACGAGTGTATGTTCCTGTGTAGTCACCACCCTAGTCAAATTAAAAAACACTTCCAGCACTCCAGAAAGCTTCCTCCTGCCCCTACCGATGTGACTTCCGTCACAACAGCTTAGTTTCACCTGTTCTAGAAATTCATAAAAATGTAGTCATGCAATATGTCCCTTTTGAGCCTGGCTTCCTTCATTCAACATAGTATCTGCAAAATGCATCTATATTGTTGCATTTGTCAATGATTTCTTCCTTCTGGGGCGCTTGGGTGGCTCAGTCACTTTAGAGTCTCTTACTAGTTTTAGCATAGGTCATGATCTGGAGGCTTCGTGGGTTTGTTTGAACACTGCATTAGGCTCCTGGCTGGCAGCTGACTCCTCGTGGGCAGCACTGAGCCTGCTTGAGATTCTTGCTCTCTCCCTCCCTCTCTGCCCCTCTGCTGTCTCTGTCTCTCTCCAAATAAATAAATATTTTTAAAAAATGATTTATTCTTTTTTCTCGCTGAGAAGTATTCCAGTGTATGCATACCCCACAGTTTATTCTCTCTGCTATAATGAACCACCAGGCGGTGTGCAGTTTGAGCTACGAAAAAGACAGCTGCTGTGAACATTCACGTCCAAGCCTTTGCACTGACGTTGGGTAAATACCTACAAGTAAAATGCCTGAGTCATACGGTTGGCCTCTGTGTAACATTTTAGGAAACTGTCAAACTGTCTTCCGACGTGGAGGTAATCGTTTCCACCCCCATCAGGGGTGTAGGAGAGTTCCAGCTGCTCCACGGTGCCCCCCCAGCACTGCAATAGTAGCATCCCCTTTTACGAAGCCATTTTAATAGGTATAAAATTGTATCTCATTGTGGCTTTAATTTGCCTTCCTAGACGTCTGATGATATTGAATATCTTTTCCTGTGCTTACTGGACATCGTATATCTTTGTTGGATTATCTGTTCAAAACTTTGGCCCATTTAAGTTATTGGGGTGTTTTCTTCTTAATAATGAGTTACAGTTTTGAACTGTGATTTAATTAACACTGATCGATATCAGGTTGTCCTCTGTTCTAACCTTCACCTGGCCTCTTTCCAGGCAATCTAGAGTAAGATCCAAACACCAGGGCCTGGTTCTCCACAATCTGTCTCCTCCTCCTGGCCCTTTGTTAGTTCTTTCTTCTACACAGGCTCCTGGCAACCCTCTGAATCAGCCATAACCAGCCAGACATCTATTACCAGGAATTATTTTATTCAAGGATCTGTGGACACATTTAGTTCACTCACTCCCCGCAGATAAGTTGAGGCTCCCTTGCATCCTGCAAATGAAATCTTTCTAGCACTGCTGTTTAATAAATAAATGAGCAAATGAATACCTCTTACCTGGTGGGAGAGATCAGCAAAGTCTTCTTTGAGGAAGTGAAACCACAGTATGACCACAGAATAAAAAAGAGTTCATCACATAACAAGATGGAGAAGAGCATTCCAGGTAGCAGGGTCAGCATGTACAAAGGCCCCGTGGTAGGAGGGAGCATGGCTTGTTCAAGAAACTGTAAGAAAGTCTGTGAGTGGGAGAGACAAGGAGCAGAGGACAGCAAGAGATTATGGTTTTAGGCTCTTTACCAAGACTCTGAGCAAGATGGGAAACTCCCAAGATTTGGGGGGTAAGGGAAATGGAGGTGATCCTGATTGAAGATTTAAGCATCCTTCTGGCTGCCAAGGAAGGAAGCAGAGAGGCCTCTTAAAGACACCCTCCTAGGAGTCCAGGGAGGAGGCAGGAGTACTCTGGGACGTAGTCGAGGCCTTGGTGGCGGTGAGAAGTGAACAGAAACAAAGCTTTAGAAGATGAAGATGTGCAGGCCTGGTCACGGACTGATGGTGACGGTGAGGGAGAACGAGGACAGCCCCAGGCTCAGATCTTGGGGTGGAAGGATGGATGGCAGTGCCCTTCACTGGGGCTCAGGCGCCATCTGGGTGTCCTCCAGGGATGAACGGGGAGAGGGAGCAGAGGGCAGGCCAGGACAGCCAATGCAGAGGCCCAGGAGATGGGCTGGCCAGGGATGGGAGGGCAGGCTAGGGGAGAAAGAGAGTGAGGTCGGGGAGCTGACAGCGCGATTAAAGCGCCGCAGGGGGACCAGACAGAGGTCTTGCAGTTTGGGCGCTTCAGTTTCTGGGTCCCGGACACAAGCAGTGACGCGGGCAGGAAGCTAGACGACGCAGCGCGAGTACACAGCCCGAAGCAGGGAATGGAATCCCCGACGGGGTGTTCAGGGACGGCAATTAAGAAGGTCTCGCGGGTGAGGGGAGAGTGCTGGCGTCTAAGGAGGCCCCAGCCCAGCACCAAGGACCGCAGAACGGGCAGCCGGGAGCCAAGAGAAGTAGGAGAGGAGGGGGGGGGGCGGGGCGGAAGGGGGGGGGGGGGCGGGGGGGCGGGGGACGGCGAGGACGGGGGGGGGGGGCAGAGCAGGAGAGGAGAGTGCGCGGGGGGGGGCGCCGGGCGGGGGGGGGCATGCTCCCCCGCTCTCGGGTCTCGCCTTTTTCTCCTTCCGCACTGTCTGGGTTTCCGCTTCCCTCCCGGGCGCGGGGTGAGGGAGCGGGACCGCGCCTCGGTCCCGGCCGCCGCCGCCATGTGGCCCCCAGACCAGGAACCCGACCCGGACCCCGACCCGGCCCCGGCGCGCGCCGGACGCTCCCCCCCGGGCGCGGCGATGCCCGGGCTCCGCGCCCTCCTGCCGGCGCGCGCCTACCTCTGCTCGCTCAAAGGCCGCCTCCTGCTGGCAGAGTCGGTGAGTGCGACGCGGGGCCGGGGCTGGGGCCCGGGTCCGCGGAGGCGCCGTCGAGACTCCCGGCCCCGCCAACCCCTCGGAGCCGAGGAAAGCGGGCGGATCTGGGTGCATTCCCCAGGCGTCGGGTGGCGCTGACCCTCAGCGCGCGAGACCGAGGCGAGATGGGGTCTGAATCCAGGCCCTCCCGGCTCCCTAAACCAACATGGGGGACCCGTTGAGAAGCCTGGGGCCGGGTCCCGTCCACGCGACGGCCGGGCCACTGGAAACCCAACCCAGCTCTGTGTGACTCCGGGCGCCCCCGCTCTCGCTGGGCCCCCGAGACGGGTTGCGTCCCTGCATCTTCTGGCCTCCGTCGCGGGCGCTCCGCTCCGCAAACCCTCCTGCCATCCCTGGCTGCGCCCCGAGAGGAACTGGGCCCCTTCGGCGCTTCACGACGCTCGGGTGGGGGGCCAGGGTCAGTTCTCTGCGCTCTTGCCCGCTTTCCTGGGCGCAGGGAGGGCCGGCCGGGCCTCGAGCTGCGGGGCAGAGGCCAGAGTGGACTCCTGCCAGCTGAGACGGGGAACAGCGGGTAGTGGGGAAGGGGACCCCCGGGACTGGGTGAGGCTAAGGCTCGCAGGCAGACCCCTCCCCCCGGGTGCACGGGGCCGGGGCGGGAACCCAGCGGGTGACTTCATCCTCCTCCTCCCCTCCCTCGCTCGGATCCAGCCGCCCCGCCCCCTCCGAGTCCTTCCTCCTTTTCGCAACCCCCACCCCTGCCCGTCAGGCCTTTGTCTTCGGGACACTCCGAAAACTCCGGCGCAGTCAAGTGTGTGGGGTGGGGGTTGGTGCTGTCCTCCGTGCAGTACCGGGGAGGAAGAGGCCGGGCACAGGGAAGGCGAAGTAGGGAGGAGCTCTTGTACCTTAGATTTCCCAGCAGTTTGACAGCCCCTATCCTTACTCCCACTTTGCAGACAAGAAAGCTGAGGCCAGAGCATAGGGGATTTGACAGGTGGGTCACTTGAGGGCTGGGTGACACCAAGGATGGGAGTGGAGATCAGAGGAAGGAGGCTTCTGCCCCCACACTTCTTCCTACTGCCCCGGGGCAGATATCCCCGGCCCGCGTCGCAGTCACTTGACTCAGCAAGCAGGAGGCAGACTTTGAGCGGACAGATGCCAGTTCAGCCCTGGAAATTGATGGGAACCTCTTTTGCAGAGAAGCCTTTAATCCACAGGCCACTGAGGGGCCCCAATCCCAACCCACTCAGCCCACCATGTCATAGAGGAAGCCCTTGGCACCCAGCTGGGTGTCAGGAATCCAGACCTAGGAAGATAAAGAAGTGGGGAGGAAGGGTTAGGGGTGATCACTGAAGACTCAGGGGAGCCATTCTGGTCCCTCTTGGCTCCCTCTGGTCACCTCCGGCTGCCTCCAGGCCCCAGCAAGTAGGGAGACTGACATGGACGGGAAAGGCAAGGAAGTAGCCACCAGGAATTAGGGAATGAGGAAACAAGAATGGAGAGGGGGATCCCCAAAATCTGGCTTTGGGGGCGGTGGACAGGAAGGGGAGAGACACAGCCCTCTCTTGAGGAAGTACAGCTGAGGACAGAATTTGGTCGGGGTCCCATGGACTTGCTTTCCTGGGAGACCTCTCTCTATGCCTTTATTTCCCATCTGTTCCACTTGAACTTAGCTACTTCCATGGCCATGTTCAGGGCTGACTTGTGCCCTGGGGACTCCCCGGGATCTCTTCATTTGTCTGAAGTGCATTTGTCTGAAGCAGCCACAGTGTTTCCTGTGTGGCATCTGGGTGTCCCTCCAGGGCCCCTAGGCCCCACTCCAAGCTACTCAACCATGGGCATGCTGAGCCCAGCCCAGCCATAGTGACAGAAACCAGGACAGATAAAGGCCAGCAACCGTGGGGCAAGAACTACAGCTGTGTGGTCAGCCAGCCCTGGGTTCAAATTCTGGTGCCTTTTTTATTGCATGACACTGAGCAAACGTCACTTCACCTGTCTGCACCTGTTTTCTCATCTGTAAAGTGGGTTGTGAGCAAGCACCTGTGCATAGGTGGTTGTGAACATCCCACAGACCTCAGCGGGCACTGGCCTGGGGAACAACAGCCCCGTCAGTGAGCGTGGTCTGCCCTGCAGCGCACCACATGGTCTGCAGAACTAGCTAGGGGCCTCCGCATCTTCCCGCATCATCAGTTCCCACCCACAGCACATGTGGAGGGCTGCGGAGAACTCCAATTCTTACTCCTTAATGCAGTGTGCCCTTTTCACAAAGGCTGGAGGGGTGATGCAGCAGGGCCTCAAGTGTCAGGGTCAACACTCCCTCCTGGATGTTTTTTTCTTCTTATGAAAATTTGCAAATCTCTAAAAAACCCGAACGGTTTTACTGTTAGTGCCCATATACCCACCGCCATGCTTGCTTTATCACATATCTTACCCATTTACCTGTCCACCAAGCGAATTTAGTTTTTGATGCAAAGTAAAAATATACTTTGCCCACATCAGTACATTTTACCTCTGAACACTTCAGCATGCATATCATTAACTAAAGCTCCAGATTTATATATTTTTTCAGCTAACATTTACATTTTGGGGAGTTGGGGGTAATTTTTTGAAACTGGTTCCTGCTTAGTGACTGCTTAGGTTTGATTTGCCCTGTTGGACGCCATCTGAGCTGGGTGCCCTGTTGGGTGGTTTCTGCCTTAGAGCCCGCTGGGGTGGGGGTGGGGTGAGAGCTGTAGGAGGCAGCCTGGCCGGGTGGGGGTGGGGAGTGCTGGCGCTGGACACACATGAGAAGCTGGGGCTTCCTGACTGGGTCCTGGCAGGGAGCTGGTGAAGGGTCCAGACGCAGAGCCATGCCCAGGGGCTTAGGGGGCAGCGCGGGTGTGGGCCAGCGCCCCACGACAGGGTTCTAATCCTGGCAGTTGTGGGACTGTGGGCAGGTCACCTCCCCTGTTCCTGACTGCAGAGCACTGGGCCAGGGGTTGTGCAAGGGCACTGACTTTCCCTTGCCTCACCTCCAGGGTCTGTCGTTCATCACCTTTGTCTGCTATGTGGCATCCTCTGCATCCGCCTTCCTCGCGGCACCCCTGCTGGAGTTCCTGCTGGCCCTCTACTTCCTCTTTGCTGATGCCATGCAGCTGAATGACAAGTGGCAGGGATTGTGCTGGCCCATGATGGTGAGGGCTGGGCCCCAGGAGGGAGGGGTTTGGCTGCATTTCGGCCCTCACCTTTCACTGTGCTGGAGGGGCTGTTTGCCGTAGGTTGGAGCCAGGCCCCACCACTCAACAGCCGTGTGACCCAGAGCAGGTTGCCTTAACCTCCAGGGCCTCCAGTGCCCCTCCCTGAGGCAGGGAACCTTAGCCAGCCTCATGGCCCCTGGCCACCAGGTGGCGCTGGTGTTCCCAGCTGGGCCTGCCGGAATGAGCCTCTGCCGCAGGAATTCAAGCCATTTGCAAAAGGGCAAGGCAGGTTAACTGAGGGCTTGCGGGGCTTGCCCAGGCCTTACCCATCTGGCAACTCGTTTTGTCACCTTGGGAGGCCTCAGAGCCCCACCTCAAACCTTGCTGTTTGAAAAGGGGCAGAAAGGCTGCCATTCAACCCTGGTCTCTTGACTTCGTATCCCATATACTTCCTGATGGGCTACAACCTGTGTCCCCATTGTAGAGACAGGGGAGCAGAAACCATGAGGCATAAATGGATCTGCCGCAAGTATGTGGCACAGTGAAGCCCAGGGCCAGTTCTCCCCGTTGGAGAGCAAGCAGAGAGCAGATGAGCAGGTTTCCAACTTCCCCTTTCTTAGGGAACAGGGAGACCTGCATGTGGGCCAAGCCGCAGGGCAGGTGCAGCCTGTTGTCCACAGGGCAGTGGATGGCCAGCTGGACCGGGGACAAGGCGGCCTCAGCTGCTCAAAGCCCGCAGGGGCACCTAGGCAGGGGCAGGAATGGGGGTGGGACGAGGACCAGGGAGTGCAAACAGAGAGCCTGAGGATGCCAGCTGTGTTTCCAGGCTGCCGGGCCCATCATCCCCTGGCCAACAGTGGGTTCCAGCCCCATTCCTGCCACCTGGTGCCCTTCTGAGCCCCTGTCCCCTGCCTGGGCTCCCAGCTGCCACTCCCCAGTGCTGTCCTCCACTCCTGGGAGGCCAGGGCAGTGACTGTGCCCACCGCTCCCCAGGACTTCCTGCGCTGCGTCACAGCAGCCCTCATCTACTTCGCCATCTCCATCACAGCTGTTGCCAAGTACTCGGACGGGGCTTCCAAAGCAGCTGGGGTGAGTAGCCGCCCTCTCCCTGGAAGGGGTTGTCCAGCAACGCCCCCTTGGGTTCACCCCACCCCAGATGCCCCTTGGACACTCTGTGGCTGGGGCACAGTCTGTCCCAGCTTAGGCCCCTAAGGGCTTCACGTGGATCTCAGCTATTCCAAAGTCCTCTTATTGGAGATTTAATCCACCCTGAGTTTTGAAGGCTGTTTGCCCAGCCAAGATAACAGCTCATTTTCCTCCTTGTCGGTACCGGGAGGGGTCTGTGCTTGCCAATCGGAGCTGCTTTTCCAAGCAGATAAAGCCAGGCGGTAGCTTCTCGGGCCGGCCCCCCCTTTCCCAGGCTCTTGGACCAGGGACTCCCAGCTCCTGATGACGGACTCCATCCACCTTGTGTCCTATCCCACAGGTGTTTGGCTTCTTTGCCACCATCGTGTTTGCAATTGACTTCTATCTGATCTTTAATGATGTGGCCAAATTTCTCAAACAAGGGGACTCCGCAGACGAGAACACAGCTGACAAGGCAGAAGGTGGGTGGCCATCCTGTGGGTTTTTACCTGGGAACGTGGCTTATCACCCCCGGGGACCCTGCTCTCCCTGAGGGATACCCAGCCAGTTTGCGGCTCGAGGAGGAGCATCCCCACAGGCCGAGAGTGTCTTTGCAGCCTGGTTCTCCTGCTCCTTCATGCAGCTGGCACTCCTCTTCTGTGACACCTTCGCTGATGAGCCCCCGGGGGTAGCCAGTCACTGGGCTGCAGAGCTGCCACCAGCAGGACCAATGCACCTGCCCACCCCCCACCCCAATCTCACCTGCCTGTGGCTCAGGGACCAGAGAACCAAGCTCTCCTCCTTACCTGCAGCACCAAAACAAGCTCAGTCAGGCTTATGAGCCAGCAGAACCCACCCTTCTGCTAAAAATATATGAGGCTCATCTCGTCCCATCCCATACTAAGGCTAAAGCTAGGTTAAATGTTCCTAGATGTTTTCCTTAGGTCTTTGTGACCTGCTTACCAGTTGCCTGCCTGCTATGGATGCTTCTAGACAACCACTCTAGTGGACGAGTAGGAAGTAGCAGTGGAGACATGTGTTTGAATATTTTGTGAGCTTTAAATATTTGAAGGTACATAGTTATATATAGTAATTTTTTTGCTATAAAATTATTCCTAGCTTATGTGTTAGAATGAATACAGCAAAACCACAAAGTCATGCCAGTCCAGCCCTTGGCACAGGGAGTTAAGGTTTATGGAGGCTCTCTGAGCTTGTCCATGACCCAGGAACAGTATGAGGACTGACTGCGGTTCTAAGGGACAGAGATTGGTCCCTCCCTGAAAATAGCAATTGGCACTGCTGGGGGAGGTGCGGGAGGTTTATGACTTAGGTGCTTTTCCTTCCTGAAGGTTCCAGAAGGCTCTATAGAGTACTCTTCAGTATTGGGATTCTAGGAACCTTGGAGTTACACCGCATAGATAGGCCCTTAACGTTATAAAGTGCGTCTGATTACTATATAAAATTAGGATTGGGGCAAGGAGGATGGAAACTATAAGGTGGCTAAAAAGAGGCTTCCTTATTTTCTAGTATATTTTAGTTTCTTGGGCCAGAAAATAGCTGTCCCCACCTTTCCCTGCTGAATTGCAGAGTAGGGTTGGGTTTGGGGTGTAGACATACCTCCCTGACACCCCGAAGTGAGAATAGCCCAGGATGACAGGGGAGAGCCTAGAGCAGAGGCATCCGGGCTCCACCCCCTCCACGTGGCCATGCCCTGGAGGTGACAGCAACCGCCTGTCCCAGGTCCCAGGCACGGGTGTTGGGGGGAGGGCGGCCTTCACACCAAGTAGATACCACCATCACAGTCAGCTGCAGGAGGGGCCTGAGTCCAGAGCTCCAGCCAACAGCCAGAAACCCAGCCAATCTCCCCAGAAACAGCTTCCAGGCACCGCTGGTCTGGAAGCTCCCACCAAGCATCCTCTTTGCTTTGCTTTCCTTTCCTTTCAGAAGAGAATTCCGACTCTGACTCTGACTGAAGGCCTACCCTGCCCTGGCAACCCGAGCCTCATGGGCCTTGACTGCTGCACCTTCTGACCAGGAGAGCCGGGACGTGGTCAGGGGACCGTGTGTGTTGGGAGAGAGGCTGTGACCTCAGCAGCAGTGGGAGTTGCTGAGGGAGCCAGCCTCCTCACAGCCCCAAGGTGACGTTCCCAAGCCCAGCATACAAATCGGCACCCCTTGGCTTAGCCCAGTCCAACCGCCCCATACACAGGGGCTTCGTGAATATTCTGCCACTTCTCATTTCTGCCCCGCAGACCTTAAGCCTTGTAACCTCCCTGCCAAAAATCAGCACAAGGGGACAGAGCTGATGGAGCCTTGTTACGGGAGGCATCTCATGCTGCAAAGCTGGCGGGGGGGGGGGGGGGCAGGTAGATGTAGGGCAGAAACCACCACAAGGCCAACCTGCTGGGCCCCAGGGGGGTTTGTCTGCATTTGCTCACAACAGGCACTTTGTGGAGAATAATCCTTCTAAGATTCTTTTGTTCAAGGAGTACCAGCTGCCTCTTCGTTTCTTTTTGTTTTTGTTCTTAGTGTTTATTTTTGAGAGAGAAAGACAGAGCATGAGCAGGGAAGGGGCCGAGAGAGGGAGGGAGACAGAATCCAAAGCAGGCTCCAGGCTCTGAGCTGTCAGCACAGAGCCCGACGAGGGTCTCAAATTCATGAACGTCGAAATTGTGACCTGAGCCCAAGTCGGACCATTAACCAACTGAACCACCCAGGCGCCCCTGCCTCTTCATTCTTGAAGCAGGGAGAAAACTGACCTTGGCTCTCATCTGGGAGAGAGCGGGTCCGTAACGGGCACCTCACGCCCTCGGAAACCACGTCTTCTCTGGGCAACATGCCAGTTGTAGATTAGCTTACTAGGTCCAAAGGAGCGAGGGTACCTAACAGTGAAGTAACTGACAGCGTCCTGGGTAGCTGGGCGGGCCCAGCCAAACCCTCTTGCCCGCCAGCAGGCAAGAGGCTCCCAGGCACTCAGCATGATGTGTTTCTCGACCCCAGAGCAGGTCTCCTGACCACCTCTCCAGAGGTGAAATGTGCCTTCTGTGTTCGCCTGAGGACCTGTGCAGTGTATGTATGTTCAGTAGGATTTTGTAACTGTATGTAATTTTTTTTTTTTTTACACAACAGTAGCTTCTTTAAATGGCCTTTCCTGTGACCCAAGAGGCCTCATGAATGAGCCAGACGTGGACCCATGTCTTGGGCATTTGTAACCTTTGTTCTTCTCTTGCATGTGAAAAAAGCCATAATGGATTAAACCAGACTACCTGCTTGGAGTGTATGTGTTTGAAAACCCCTCACACTCCCCAGAGCATGCGGTCCAGGGTCACGCTTCAGCACAGACTGGGCACGTACACGGTGAGTCCCGACAGCGCCAGGCTTCGATAGCACACGCACATTTGCTCCACACCAGGCACACCTAAGCATGAGACGCCTGTGCTCTCCTCTAGTCTTCACACGATCCTGTTTCACTGTCCAGGAAACTGACAGAAGGTTCAGGAACTTGCCCAAATCATCATGGCCCCTTTGAGGAGGGCCTCTCACTTATCTATCAGGATAACCACCCACGGCACCTCTGAGATAGCCAGAACCTGGGCCTCTCGTGGTTTGGAAACTGGTCGCACGAGGGACCCCACACTTGAAGACTGGGAGAGCGCCGGGTCGGCATTTGGCCCAGGTATCCTGCCCCAGCTTTGACACACGTTCTGAAAATACATCCGAAAGCTGATGTGCAGAAACCGAGAGGGATACACGGTGGGACCTTGCCTGCCCAGCTCAGCCAGCCAGGCTGCCTGTCAACACCCATACCCCGGCCTGTGCCACGGAGGTGGGCTGTGTTTAGCCACCACCTCACAAGCTTGTTTCGGGAACTAGGTCCGCGGCCTTTGAAGGGACGGGAGGGAAGTCGGAGCGAGGAGACAATGCCATTTTTACATGTCCATTTATTAAACAAGAACTCCTTCGTGACAATTTAATACAATATTTATTAACGATTAGTGCTGAGAAAATTATTTCCCTCTACATACAAAAATACAGATTTGAACACTATGAAAACAATCAGGACGAGTACCATGAAAAATAGGTCCTTCAAAAGAAATAAAGGGGCAAAACTGAGGGCAACGTGAGGCTCTGTCTGCTGTCGGGGACAAACCCACAGGAGCAAAGGCTTTGGGGCCCCAACACCACTCCAAATGGATAGAGTCAAACCTACAAGCCAGGGTTTGAGAAGCCAGGAAAGCCACCAACAGCACAAACCAAAGTTTGCCAAATGGGCATCACCTCAGAATGCCCCACAGCTGTGCCTAAATGATTAAAGGAAAAAGACTTCTAAGAAGCAAAATGTAATCGTTACTAAGTTAACATTGCCCCCCAGAAGTGCCACCCGGCCAAGTACCAATGAATAATCATATTGGAGCTATTAGCCATCTGATTTCATTTCCTTTGTTAAAATAATGACATCTTCTGGCCCTTCCAAAGGACAAAAAAGAAGCTACAGTTTGAGTAAATCCATTCCTTCATTTTGCAGTGGCTCAGCTAGTTCACTCAAAGAATTTTCTTCACACAGAACTCGCGTCCTATAGATATGGGAGGGGTGGGAAAGCCAACAGAGCAGCTAGAGCGTTATCTAATGTCAGCAAGCTCCTCATAGCAGGGAGTCTATTTTGTCCCAGCGCAAAACCAGAAAGGGCCACGGAGCCCACCCCGGGGAGTCCACAAACCAAAGTCAGTGGAGGCCCCTTGGGCAGCCCCTCTCTCCCAGGCAGGGCTGGAGGTGGGCCTGAGCTGGTCCTCTGCTTCACCAGCCCGCCAGCAAGGGAGATCTTCACTGTGTCAGACCTAAAGGGGAAAATCAGAGCGCCACGGATGTTCCATGCTTATCCTTTCTACAGAACCACTTTCCTCTTACCGTTTGAGGCGAGCAGTGGCTCTCCCTAACTGAACAAGTGGTTTAAAAATGCCAAATGCAGTTATACTGATTAATTATTTCACAGAAATATACGCTTACTCTCAGACTGTTGAAATAAGCAGAAACAAGTCATTGGGGAGAAAGCAGCAGAGAGGAGACAGGAAGAGCCAAGGTGGGTGTGGTTTTTTCTCTTTTTTAAAATACATAACGAAGTTTAAAGGGATAATGTCTAAACCTCAAAGCCATCATTGCTAAAAGCAATATTAAAAGGACACGATCTAACATCATGCTACAAAAATAGTGTCATCTGGTTTAACTAAATGTACATCTTTTTTTCAGTTCCATGATTGACAAGTGTTTATGTGACTGACACACAGAAGGCACCGAAGGTGAAGTGATTATTATTTGTCTTAAAATATACAAAGACAGAATTACCTACTTCGGGGGAAAAAAAATACAGTCATACCTGTAATAAATAGTTAAGTGTTTTTGCCACGGGTTCCCGAACCCCTACAGATTTCAACATATACAAATAGTTTCGATCCCTACATTCTCTTAGAGGGAACCACATCAAAATCAAGTTAACAAAAGCATTGGTTTTATCCACATATGTCAGTTTCATCATAAGTCAGGATTTGAAAACTCATTTTTAAACGGGTTACAGAGTGAAGGAGCTGGAAGCAGTCAGCCCCCGTGCAGGTCTAGGCCAGCTTGGGGGTCCATCTGGGCCTCCTGCCCTCGTCCTTCCCCACGAGCCAGCCTTCCCCCAGCCTTTGGACCAGCCAATTCTCCCTTCAAGCTCTGATTCTTTGCCTCCTTCACTTCTGCAGAAAGGGAAACTTGCGAAATCAATTCTGGAAAAGGCAGGAAAGCAAAATGGCCCACCGAAGGAGGCAGGCATCAGTTAGACCTGGCCCTGCTTGATACAGGCACCAAATGGGTCCCCACACTGTCCTCATTTCCTGGTAACAGGAAATGCTTTCTACTGGGGTTCAGCAGCGTTCTCCAGAGACAACTCCGACGTGACAGTTTTGGACTGAGTCCCATACAAACCAGCACCCGAATCAACTGTGTCCTACCTTCTCTGGCCTGAGGCACAATTATGAAAAGAAACCTCACCTCACCCTAATCCTGTCAACAAAGCTGATTAAGGTCATTTGAGACCAGTTCCTACTGGAAATTGGAACCAGAAAGGTTCTGACAGCCCACTAGAGTCCAGGCTATTAACTCCTTAATGAAGGCTCTCTGGCCTCTGCATACAATGCATCCCAAGGAAAACCTGCCGCTCCAAGGTGTCTAGATGAGCAAGCAGGTCACCCTAATTAAAGTCTTGGCATGAAAATGCGGAAAACAAACTGACCCTAGGAACAAGATGCACTATTCAAGGATCCATAAGCTAAACTTTATTTTAGGCAAGTTGCTGTTGCTTCAACCTCAGTGGGCTTGTAGGTAACTTTTTTCTTTATTGTTACATTTATGGGATAAGAAAAACCAGAGAGGGAAAAAAAATCCCCAAGGTTCAGAAATTGCACCGAAATGGGACAGAAATATAATCTAGACCAAAGAAGGAAGAACACATCGGCCCCATTCCTCTGTTTCAAGCCTAAGCGTGTGTAAATGCCACTAATGCCACTTACTGGTGTGAAGGAAAAGTCAAACGGAACATTCATTTTCAGAAGAAAATTCTTCTAGATCTAACAGAGTTTAAGGGTATTTTCTATCAGGGACAGTTTCTAAATAAAAGCAATGGACAGGGTCAAATGTTTCAAATAACCTTTCAACCACACAGTTCTTATGATCTCAATAATATCTGCTGAGAGAGGAGGAAACACCAGATTTTATAAAAAGCCAGGAAAGGTGACAAAGCTCAAGGAGGCCTGTGTTAGGTCTGCGTCCTCTCTAAGGTGGACCCAAACCAGAATCTGAGTCCCCTGTCCAGACCTCAAGAGCCGACCCAGAGCTCCGAGGCATACTGGTCCCAACATCCAGCTTTGGCTCGCAGGCTGAATGCAAACCTCAGCCCTCACTTTTCCAAAGACAAGAGAACAGGAAGGTAGTCAACCAAGCACATTTTTTCAAAATGGCCTGGGTGGGTGACCACATGCAGGGTGATGGCCAGTTCCCCGGAGGCACGCAGTCTGGGTGTGCTGGGCCCCTCTCTCCTATCACCTCCCATTCTTGCCCCTGCTCCACTCTCCAGTCTGTTGCCCAGCTGGTCCTGAGAGTGGGTGCTGATAAGGTAAGAAAAATTTGAGGCAGACAGAAGTCCTGGGTTCTGCAAAGTTCACTAGGAACCAAAGAGGCATCTGGGGACCTCAAAAGCTAATGACAGTCCCTTGGGGCAGAGAACAACTTTTTATTTTCCTAGAGAGAATCAATTGGCAGTAGCCTTTACCTAGAAAGTGCTTTTTGCCTTTACCTGTTTAATGTCCTTATTTTCCTGTAAACAAGATATGGAGAAAATGACAGTCGGGAAGTAGCAGGATGACTTCCCGGTTGCCTGGTTTTGAACACGGATGGCACAGTGGGAACCACTGAAGTCATCACTGCCTTCCAGAATCACTCAATTGGCCACACATCGCCTCCACACACTACTTACGTTAGGGCTGGTTCTGAGAACTCACAGAAAATCTTGCACAGCCAGAGATTAGAACTTGGGCCACCTCTTAGACACGTGGAGAGGTGAGGAGTTTCTTCCAAACAGCACATGATTGTCTGCACGACGAGGTGAGCTTGGACCGCACACAGGACATAATATACGGAGGCCTTATTCCAGGCTTGTTCGTTGCAAGCAAGAATCCATACACATGTGCAGACAAAAGAGTGCCTCCAAGTCTGAATCGCTAAGAAACCATCAGAGAAAGGCAGAGGAAGTGGCAACCTTTTTAAAAGAGTAGACATGTTTTCAATGGAGTCAAAAGCTCTCACCATCTAACACGTCGGATACACTTCATGCCTACGCACAGGCGTGCGCCTCCCTGCCAGGGGACAGTCGTGGTGCCCTGAGGGCCGGGGCTGTGGTCCGCCCCCGAGAGTCAAGCCCTCAGAGCCAGTGGGTCCCGCTGGCTCCCATGTGACCAGCCAGGCTCTGTCCCCGCTGGCTTTTCAGTTCCAGCCGCCGAGACCAGGACTGGACAGGCCACTACATCCTTGCCTTTTTGTGGGCAAAGGTAACCTCTCTGGGATGAGTGTTTCTGCACAGAGTAAAAATCTAAAATAAAATACTTTGAATCAAACTTGTCCTATAAGGTTTTAATCTGTGACTACCTTTGTCCTTCCCTGGCTTTATATGGGACCAATGAGCGACTTTCGGCCTCCATGACTGTAATCTTTCTGTATGAAAAGAAAAAGACCTCTCCCTCCCTCCACGCCTTCAACCCTGTAGGGAAACACACAGGAGAATCTGAGGGAGAAAATACCACATCAACCAAAATCAGTGCCAAGATCAACTTTCTCTGAAGACGTCGGTGTGCATCTATCTAAAACCACCAGGGGTTCCACCGGAGGCTGGAAGGTCGCCACCACACGGTCTCCAGGCACAAAGTCCTATCTACACAGCAACTGCAGTTCCCATCAAGTTTGGCACAAACTACGAAAGCCAGCATCCTCCTACCAGAAAATTGAGAAACACTGAGATTGCCTCAGCCTTAAAATACCCCAAACCAAATGGATGTGGTCCACATTTGGAACCATTACATGCACAAATAGGCTTCCTTCAATTTGCAAAAACAAAACTAAAGTCCTGCTAAGCGCCCCCTAAATCTAGATTGTCCTGTTTGCACACAGAGGCAACATAAGAAAAACAAGTGTCGTCACATTCGCCCTAGACAACCACACTCTCCTCTCAGAACTGCCCCCGCCACGCTGCCGCGCGAGGAGGTCTGCTCCCGGGCTCTGCGCCACACCAATAAGAGAGCTGGCTGCTTCTGGCTGTAGTGGGAGCTAATTAAATATAAAGAAATATATTTACAGAAACCATGGGGGAGCCTCATGGCACAAAGGATATTAAATAGTTACAGGGACATAAATAATTCCGAAGATTCTAACACTAAGATGCAAAGCGACCACTACGTCCCTCGGTGGCACAAGGGATCGTCACTTTTTATCACCTATAAGCATTTACAATTGCAATGGGCTTCAGAACCACTACTTGGCAGCTTTCAACACATCCTCGGGAGGCCAACAGGCCCTTTTCCACCAGGTGATAAACTGGTTTTATTGCAGCCACTTGGAAAAACTTGGGCAACAATCCTGCCCGAGTGGTATTCTTTTTCTTGATCTCACTTCAAAGGCGGCTTTTTACTGAGGCCAAGTAACATGACTCCCAGCAGATTCCTGATAAAGCTCAGGGTGGTCCTTCCACGTGGGCCCCACTCAATGCGAGGCTGGGTCTTTGTGGCCCTGTTTCTAAGTGGAAATCTCAGAGGGAGAGAAGCCCATTTCAGACTATGCAGACAACAGTCGACAAATGCAAAATAAATACATAAAAATGAACAGATAAAATCCAGATGTCATCATCTCCTCACAAGTCACTACACATAAGAAGTTCAAAGTTTGTGAGGCGTGACTGGTGCCGCCTCACAACACGCACGGGAAGGGGGCTCGATCGGACCCGTGTGGGCGCAGGGGAGGTGCGTGACCACCGGGCCGGCGGGGTCTGCACCGACAGCCCACCGCCCCTGACGCGGACAAGGAACCGCAGCAGAATTCGGCCAGTTCCGGACGGTTGGTTCAGGCGGCTGACCCCTAGCCCCGACCCTTCAGATGTGGAAGGTACCGTTTTCCCTAGAACCACCTGCCTAGCAGTGGTCCCTGCGCTGGGAAATGAGACGCTGCTCTTCTGCGAGGCGTGCGATGCCACGGGTGCACGGATGACACCCTCTCGCACCTGCTCTGCTCCCCACCTCCGAGCACACACTTGTGTTCGCTCTCTCCTCACGCAGCACGCGGCAAAAGCTGCAGTCATTCACTACTAGACAAGATCCTGGGGATCCTCCGCGGGCTGCAAACCCGCTGCCGCCCCCCACCCCATCCCCACTGGGGCAGGGCGGGTTTCCTCTCTGGTGACAGCCAGACACAGAATAGTAGAGGAACACGGAGGTTTGTAAACATTCAAAACAGTTCAGAGAGTGAAAACCCAGCAAGTTACGGGCAATTTTTCCATGAAAGATACAATTATAGTTTCCCAGCGAGAAAAAAAACAAAACCAAAAACAAACAAAAAAACCTACAGCCTCAAAGGGATTCATGTAACACATTCACCACAATCATCTTCACTTTATCAAGAATCCATCCAAAACCTTACATAACTAGAATTTTCCCCAGCAACTTCCGAGGTCGATGTTCATAGTCATGACCCTGAGGCACAAAAGCCACAACCCGTGCCTTCTGGAACATCAGTGAAAGGGTGTATCGTGCTGGAAATTCAAGTATTTTCAAATCCTAGACAAACCTACTCAGAATCACTTTACAACTGTCCTCAGGCATTTAAAAATTCGCATACATCCCTAAAACAGGTGTGTCCCCACCTGTGGTCCATGAAGCCAGCAAAGGTGCCGGCATTCTGGTTGGTGGAATGTTTTGTTTTGTTTTGTTTTTTGTTTTTTTGTTTTTTTGTGGCTTTTACCTGAGAAGGCAAAATTGCAGGAAGCCTGCAATTCAGCCTCCAAGTAGTAAGGGTGGGTCTGAAACTGGAAAACAAGATGGTCCCCACGTTCCCGGAGGAGAATCTGGGATTCAGGGAAGTGACGCATTTCAGGAAGAATTAATTGAGTGACTTCTCAGCAGGATGGGAACCAAAAGGTGACCTTCCCGCATGTCAGCAGTCCCACTGAACGGCCCCAAGAGGGCAGCAGCTTTTCCCATCCCCGTAAAGTCTGGGCCCAGCAAAGAGCTCCACCAGCGCCCCCATCACCAAGACCCTCAGCGTCACGCGTGGCTTTCTGGGCCTGTGCTGGGTGTGTCGACGCCCCAGGAGTGGAAGACGAGGAGCAGGGGAGGCTCCGGGCAGCAAGACTAAATGGTGCCCCGGAGCTCGCGAGGGGGCTGCCCGGCGATCGCTGCCAACCCCACACCTTCATTCCTTGATTTCCACCCCCTCCTAGCAGCCCCCATTAATCCAAAGTCTTGAGCTGTCACAAAAATATATGACAGGGTGGCTCGGAGTCAGATGTGAAGCCTGTGCTCGGGGACAGCGAAGACCTAAAGCAGACGCGGCAGCCGGTAAGGTCGGCGGCAACCATGGCCACCCAACGCTGGACCGATCGGCAGGCCTCTGCCGCCCGCCTCGGTCAGAACAGCTGGGCGCGACGGCTCCCTGCCTCAAATACCTGCCAACGCGGGCTCTGAAAACCCTTTCCCAGGATGAACTTTCACCAAAGAGGACAAAATTCAACTTAATCACGGGAAAATCTGACATGATGAGGGAAAGAAAACTTGTCTGAAAGGATGGGCACGGGGACAAGAGGGAAGAGGATGGCAGGTGCTCATGTGTCCAGGCGCTGGATCTCAGGGCGACCGTCCACGTCTCTGGACTCCGTGCGGGCTCGGATGTAGTCACTGGCACTCTGCTGGTGGATGCTGAGTCTCCATTTCTGCACCGCCAGGAACGTGTTCACTGCATATACCGCGGTTGCCAAGAAGCCAAATATCTGCAAAACACGGGCACGGTCAGTCCTCAGACACGTCAGCCGCGTACCGGGTGTGAGGGCAGGACCTGCCCTGAGCAGCTCACATTCACCCGAGATGTGTGCAACTGTCCCAGCTGTACCCACAATGCCCAGACCCACTGACATTCAGCTGTCTGACTGTGGCCAAGTGCGCAGTGAACACAACCCACATAAAGTTCTGCATCACCTGAAGACAGCCCAAGACTTCTTTTAAAGTATTTTGGATCTATTAAAAACAAACAAACAAGGGTGGCCTGGGTAGCTCAGTCGGTTAAGCGGCCAACTCTTGGTTTTGGCTCAGGTCGTGATCTCGGGGATTGTGGGTTTGAGCCCCGTGTCGGGCTCTTCTATGCTCACTGCGCAGAGCCTGCTTCGGATCCTCTGTCTCCCTCTTTCTGGCCCTCCTGTGCACGTTCTCTCTCAAAAATAAATAAACGTTAAAAAAAGTTAAAAAACAAACAATCACAGAAGTGCCTCTTTTACAACACCTTCATGGCCACTGGTCCCAGGTAAGAAAGTAAAATGTAGACCAAAATACCATATAGACAGAAAATGAGGGTCTCAGGTGTCAGCCCCTAATCAAGCCATAATGCCTGACTTTCCAAATCACAGCCCCCCAGCCTCTGTCTGCTGTCCAGCTGCCTCGCCCCTGGGCAGCTCCAGGTGGTCAGCTCCGGGGTAAAAAGCAGTATAATTTTAATGATTCGAAAGGACTGATGATGAATCCACTGAGTGACACTAGGGACAGTAGCTGGCTTAATATTTTTTACAAACGTTTCAAACCAGCAGCCCCCCCACCATGGCAAAAGTGCTACATGTTCATTATAAATACAGAGCAATATAGAAATGCAAAACACAGAGCGTGAAAGTCTTAAGGTTATCTGGTTCCCACCCTCCCCCGAAGGCATTCCACCTCAAAGAACAAAAACATGTCACCTGACTGCTACATGGAGTCAGGCCTACTTCTTCTTAAGATTCTCCCCCACACATTGACAGATAAGGCTCTTAAAAGTAACATCACTAACAGACACGTAGGGCTCTGGAAACAGACTAAAGCAGTGATTCTCAAATTTGAGCATGCACCTGAATCACCCGGAGGGCTTATTACTGGGGCTCTCTAATTCACTAGCTCTGGGGGAGCCTGGGAATGGCATTTCTAACAAGTTCCTCGGTGATGCTGAGGCTGCTCTTCTGGGGACCACACTTTGAGAACCATAGCGCTGAAGGAACCAGGACCTCCACTGACTCAGTAAGAACATCGTTAGCAAAGAAAAAGCTAGGGAAGAACGAGCAGGACGCAGGCTAGGGGACAGAGGAGAGCAAGTCACAGGGTGCACAAATCAGCCTGAGTTCACTTACCACGGCAGCAATTTCTGCTCCGGTTTTGTGGTTTAAAGCAGCCAGTACAATCGAAGCAATAAAGAAAAAGAAAGTGCTGAGTCCAGTGTTGACCAAATCCTAAAGAAGAAGATAAAGTCACTTGGAAAGAATGATTTCCTGCTTTGCCCTAAAAGCAGCACAAGGCCCAGCCTCTCTGATGACACCATATTTTAGTCTCAATGGCCCAGGGGTACTGGTCCCACAAAGGAAGGCAAAGATGACACCAGCTTATGATGATGCTACTTGATATGTCACCACAGCAAAATCCACATTTTAATCAACCACGTTGTCATTTCTTAATGCATTATTACAGAAACCCAAACTGCTAACCCATTAAGGACATGCACGTTAATTACCATTTTGAGTTCTACTGTCATCTTTTCAAACTACGTTAAAATCACCTCAGCATGGGCAGCACTCCCCAGAAGTCCAGAATGTACTGTAACTGGCCAAGTGCCCTCCATCGCCACTCACCCCCCCTCATTCATTTGTGACTTGGCAAGTGCATGGGTTTTTAGACCTAGAGAACTCACTTAGCCAGACCTCATGCTCTTTCTTATGCATGGTCTTTCATGGGTCTCTATGGCTAAAACCTAGAGGATTTTCTCCTAAGTTTTTTGCAAAGCAAATGAGGTTAGGTATCCAATGCTTCCAAGATTTAACTCCTGTCTCAGCTGTGAAGACAAACAGAGCACATCGATTAAGTGTCACAGCCTGATGTGGGTCCTTACCCACCATGACTTGGGACAAGCCATTTTGCTTCTTGTGTCTCATGTGGGAACAGTACCCCCACCTCACAGAGTTATTCTAGGGGTCAGGTGGAGACACTCACAGCTACGGTTCCCTGTACATTAACTGCTGCTACTGTAATCGCCAATGTGACAATGGGATGCTGACAGCCGGGGTCATACCAGAGTCCATATAATCTCTACAGGGAAGCAAAATCCAGGGGAAATGCTGGACTGTTTGTGCATCAACACCAAGTGGGTCCTCAAGGGCCATCTCCTTTTTTTTAAAAATGTTTATTTATTTTGAGAGCGACATACAATGCGCGTGCTAACGCGCGCACGCGCGCGCACACACACACACACACACACACACACACACAGACGTGTGTGTATGTGTGCCGGAGTTGGGGAGGGGAAGAGAGAGGGAGAGAGAGAGAGAATCCCAATCAAGTTCCGTGATGAGAGCACAGAGCCCAACATGGGGCTTGATCCCACAATCCTGGGATCATGACCTGAGCTGAAATCAAGAGTCGGACGCTCGACCAAATGAGCCACCCAGGTGCCCCGTCATCTCTTTCCAAAGTTGCAAAAAAGCAACGTTCTCATCACAGAGGTACTGAGCCTACGCAGCAGGAACCCCAGCACACTGCTGGTGCGGGCTTCCCTAGGGGCTCACAGAGTGAAGCAAACGCCAACTACAAAACTCTGTTCAGAAACCGTCTGCCAGCACAATAGTTTTCAGCTGTGACCAATGTGAAGTAAGGGCAAGTTTTTCACAAATTCAAACCAGGAAGTGTTCAGTTAAAATGCTCAGGTCTGGGTAAGGTGCTGTAGGAATAAAGAATATAAAATGTACTTTCCAAAACAAACACTATTCAGAAGTGGGGGGAGTTTTGTGATACATGCTGAGGCCAAACATCAAACCAAATAGTATGTACATTATTGGTGACAGTGTAAAAATATAAATTGGTCAAGGGCCTATATGCATCAAAGGTTTTAAAAAGGTTCGTGTTGCCTATGATTTCCACATTTGGAAATTCATCTTAAATATCACACTAGTGCAAAGGTCTCAGTATAAGGATGTTCATCATAATCCTTAACATAGCAAAAAAAAAAAAAAAAAAAAAACCCAAAAAACAAAAACAAAAAAAACCCTCAAAAACTGGAAACAAACAAAATGCTCAAGAATAAAGGAGTTGTTAAATAAAATGGTATCTCCACAATGGAAACTATGCAGTCATTATGGTGAAGTTGTATATTTAACATGAAATATACTTAAAATAGTTTAAGTGAAAAAGCATAATTCTAATGATTCCATTCCACACCACCCCCCACACACGTTATCACAACATACATGCCTAGGTGAAAGATAGTCTACATAGTCTAGAAGCTTATATCAAGTTTTACAAGTGGTTATCCCAATGGTTTGTATCACGTATGACTTTTTAATAACTTTATTGAGATAGAACTCATATGCCATATAATATACCCAATTAAGATGTGCAATTCAATTACCATGATCTAATTTTATTTTATTTTTTTTAATGTTTATTTATTTGAGAGAGGGTGAGAGAGAGAGAGAGAGAGAGAGAGAGAGAGAGAGAGGTGGGGAGGGACAAAGACAGAGAAGAGAGAACCCCAAGCAGGCTCCATGCTGTCAGCACAGAGCCAGACATGGGGCTCAAACTCACAAACCATGAGATCATGACCTGAGCTGAAACCAAGAGTCAGATACTTAACCAACTGAGCCACCCAGGCGCACCTACCATTATCTAATTTTAGAACATTTTCAGTACCAAAAAGAAACTCATTAGCAGTTAATTCTTCATCCCTCTCCTAATCCCAGGCAACCACTAACCTGCTTTCTGTCTCTTTGGATCTTCCTATTCTGGACATTTCATATAAATAGAATTATATATTATGTGCTCTTTTGGATTGGCTTCTCCCACTCAGTTTAAGATTTCTAAGGTTCATTCAGGATGGAGCACAGATCAACACTTCATTCCCTTCTCTTACTATATAGTATTCCATTGTACAGGTACCCCACATGTTATTTACCTTTTCATCAGTTTTTGGACATCTGAGTTGTTTCTACTTTCCGGTTGTTTTAAACAATGCTATTATGAACTTACTAGCTTTTGTGTAGACGTATGTTTTCATTTGTGTTGGATCATCACATGATTTTTTTTTCCTTTATCTGTATCTTCCCATTTTTCTGTAACAAACACTTATTCCCCTGCACGGCTTTATTAAAAGGCTTAAAAGTGGAATACTGCACATGTTCATTGGCGTCAACTACGTGAGTTCCTCATCCATGAAACAAACATCAGGCCTTGTAGGTTCATCCTTCACCTTAGGGGGCACACATGGACATGACCTTAGAACAGGCTTTGGGGGGAGTAGTCAACAGTGGTGTTTAACTTTCTTTAATGCTTTTTTTTTTTTAATGTTTATTTTTGAGAGAGACAGAGACAGAGACAGAGATAGCGAGTGGGGGAGGGGCAGAGAGAGAGGGAGACACAGAATGAGAAGCAGGCTCTAGGCTCTGAGCTGTCAGCACAGAGCCCCTGACAACAGGCTCAAGCCCATGAACTGTGAGATCATGACCTGAGCCAAAGTCGGGATGCTTAACCAAATGAGCCACCCAGGCTCATGAAAAGAATGAAAACCACCCTCACATACACACACACTTGGGTCCCTTCTTCAGTGACACACCAGGAGGTACAGATGTGAACCCCTGTAACTCCAAGAACAGATCAACAGGGTGTGGCCTAGAGGGTGCGAACCCGAGACCTATTGACCATATCTGGCCCACAGACAGGTTTGACGTGCACGGCTTTCAAAGCAAATTTGAACACACCGACATTAAAACACCAGAAGACTGGGGCACCTGGGTGGCGCAGTCGGTTAAGCGTCCGACTTCAGCCAGGTCACGATCTCGCGGTCCGTGAGTTCGAGCCCCGCGTCGGGCTCTGGGCTGATGGCTCGGAGCCTGGAGCCTGTTTCCGATTCTGTGTCTTCCTCTCTCTCTGCCCCTCCCTCGTTCATGCTCTGTCTCTCTCTGTCCCAAAAATAAATAAACGTTGAAAAAAAAAAATTAAAAAAAAAAAAAACACCAGAAGACTGTACGTAAAAAACTAAGTTCTTAAAAACAAACAAACAAACAAACAAACAACCTTCTAGCTGCCTTTGAAAAACCGTTCCAGAAGTGCCCTATGGCAACCACAGGGTCAGCGGGGGCTGAGTAGGAGAACCACCTGCCTGCCTCCCCGGTCTCCAGCCCCAGAGGCCCCGAGTCTACAAGCCCAAGCCAGTCCCCGAGAATGGGCCGTCCTGTAACATGCCCCACCCTTCCACACTCTGTGCCCAGGAGTCACCCACTCATCTCTCAAGGCCCAGCTGGAATCTGGCGTTTTCTCTGAATTTCCCCTGACTGGCCCACTCCAGGCTCCTGCCCAGGGAATCCACCACCTCCTTGCCTGTGTCCCGCCAGGCCACACACAAAACTGGATCTGATGGAGCACACCTGTCCACAGGCAAGCAGCTTGCATCCACCTGCCATGTGCTTTCAGTTCCAAGTTCTGGCACAAAGTAGGTATCCGGTTCATGTTTGCCGGACTGATAACAGGTGAGATAGTTGTGAACAGGTTGGGCCCCAGCCTGTCACTGCAATTGCTCCCAAACCACGGGGCTCCGTGGCTGGCTCTGGCATCGGTTCTACACAAGGATGAGAGAGCAAGTTCACAGCCACTCAGTCTATACCACGCACGGACTTGTGCTCGAATGGCCCCAGTATCAAAGGGACAATCCTAATACTGATGATAGTGGCAAATACTCTCCATGGAGTCTCTGTTGTGCCAACTCTGTGTGCGTGTGTGTGTGCGTGCGCACATGTGTGTATAACTTCACAGATCCTAACCTAATTATGACCCAAAATATGTATAAAGTAGGACACGTGTTATTTCTGCTTTTATGGGAAAGGAACGGAGTACCAGAAAGGATGTGTGGTATAATACAAAAATATGTATTTGGTCTTTGTCCCCAGTTCCTTGGCATTTTCTGGGATGATGGGAGTATCTTTTGTGGTTCATAAGGAGCCCCTCTCAACCATAAACAACCATTAGTTTGTGCTAATGAGGTGACTCTCTGGAGCCCCTGGATAGTTTCAGGATGGGAGGTGGTTACCAGAAAAACCAACCAGGCTGTTAGAGGGTTAGAACTTTCTGCCTCATCTGCACCAACCTCCAGGGAGGGGAGAAGGGCTAGAGATTGGGTTCAACCTCCAAACGACCAACGATTTTAACCAATCATGCCTACATAATGAAACCTCCCTAAAAACCTCCAAATGAC